ATCTAATAAATTGAAATAAATTAGTAAATAACTAAAAAATATTACTTAAATGCCGGTACAAGAATTACTAATTAGTGATTTGGAAAACATAGTTCAAACTATTCTGAATTGCTGGTGATGGGTGATCATCGGTTTTATTGTAACTGTTTGACAATTAGAGGGGAATTTCTTGAGGGGAGCAATACTAACAAATAAATTAGGAAGTAGGTATTGTGTAATTGTTTGTTAAAAAAGAAAGTTATGTTTTATATTATTTAAAAGTTATTTACATTTATTCAACAGGTATATTTTAGAAATGTGTGTTAATTTATTGAATCATTTATTAAAAGGATAGTTATATGACAATAAATGAAGAAAGATGTATAATTTGTGGGTGTGCATTAACTCAAACTTGTATCAATTTGCGATATATTGATTCGGTCTCTGTTTTGGCAGAAAATTGTAATGTTAAATATATAAAAATTAAAACAATTAAAAACACTTTAAGGGACAAACAGAACACAATTAAAAGGACAAAACAGAAAATTAATTAAAAATGGGGCACTTAGTGGTACTAATTCCGACACTGCTTATTTTGCCATGACATATGCCTTATACAGTATAATGAAAAAATAATAGAATTTCGAGGATAATATTCGAACCGTTTCTGATAAATAACTGGCAAGTAGGGGAACAGTCGAGCGCGTCTGATCTTAATACTGACCTATTGTGATGTTACCTATATGTTCTAGAGGTGGTAAAAAGATCTAAACAAAATTAAGTGTGGGTTTACAAAAAATACACTCTTACACATTCGGTGCAAAGTTACCCTGCTCACTGCAAAGTAACCCCCTTTTACGGTGCTTAATAATACAATCCTAAAAAATAATGAAATTACGACTCCTCTAGAATTGCTCCTTTAAAATTAGTTCTTACAAATAAATCACCCTCTCCAATCAATTGTTGGACTTTAGTCTAGAATAGTTGGCTTGGTAAAGAATAAAAACATACTGTAATCTTGTATATTGCAAAAACAAGTTGATATTCAGATGAATTAATTTTTTTTTAGTTAATTCGGTTTTGCTTACTAGTCTAGGTTTTGCGGAGAACAGCTGGAACTGTGTTCCAGCTCCGTGTGTAGGGGTTTACTCTCCGGCTCTAGAACTCACTTCAGCAATGTATGTTACCTGAAGTCATATTTAATTTAATACTGAACATCACAGTTCTTTAACAAGATGTATAATCTTTTACAACTATATGTAATTTAAAGGGTTTTTACCCATGTATTTTGGTGGCTCAGGCATTTTAACCTAGTAAGTATAGACATTTTTGCTTTTTAGCCATAGTCAAAATTTCATAACCACGTTTGTTTTAACTAAATGGTTTATACAGTAGTCTCTCTTTATAACGATTCCCTACATAACGATAATTCCTCTATAACGATGAAAATAGTAAACGTTGGTTGGTTCGTCATAAGGACAATGTATTAATTCTTTCTCTATACCGATATAGTTCTCTCTTTATAGCGATGACTTTTCAGCATTCAATAGTCGATGGCAAATGTGTCATTGTGCTTAAAGTTCAGACTACCTGCGTCATGAGTGGCAAGGTCAATGTCCAGCGGTTTTGTTTTGAGCTTAAGGAATGCGGCCACTCAGTCTACTCATTCTCATCAGAGGATTAAGTGACTCGCTTTTATTGTTTGGGCACCGTTATCACACAGATGTTGCCATCTATTGACGACTTTTCATTTCCAGTTTGAGTTTTGTCTCAGTGTTTCAACAATCAACATGTTTTCGAAAAAGCGTAAAGTGCTCTCGGTGGAGAAAAAGTTATCTATAACTCTGTGAAGTGAACAGTGGCTATGATATGAAAGGACAGAAAAAACTGGCTTGAAGGGGGGATGGAGGGCGGTAGCAGGAAGAAGTTGGGGAAACCTCAGCACGAAGATTTAGATGGCGCTATGCTTCAGTGGTTCCAGCAGCAAGGTGTGAACCATATTCCACTGTCTGGGCCTGTGGTCAGGTTAAAAGCTGAGTTTTTGTAACTGAGCTTGGAATTGACCATTTCAAGGCATGTGAGAATTGGAACACGAGAAGCAATAGTAGCAACACAGGTACTGGTCCAAAATTGTCACGATCAGAGGAAGGATGTGTTCCTATGCTTTTTAGGTTACAAAAAAGCGTTTGATCGTGTCCAACACCACAAGTTAATGCAGATTCTCAAGAAAGTTGATATATACCAAAAAGACATAAGATGCATTGAAAACTTGCACTGGCATCAAACGGCACAGCTAAAAATAGACAATTCTATATCTAACCCATACATATAAGAAGATGCGTTCGACAGGGATGTGTGCTTTCCCCTCTTTTATTTAACATTTATTCAGAAGCCATATTTCAAGAGTCTTTGGAGTATGCAGAGATGGGAATCAAGGTGAATGGAGTATTGATCAACAACATACGATATGCTGATGATGGTGTCTTAATTTGTGACAACATAGTCGATCTTCAACAACTTGTCACTATAATCGGAGAATACAGTGAGCGAATGGGACTAGAGATTAATACCAAAAAGACCAAATTCATGATCATCTCCAGAAACTTGGATGCATTTGAAAACTCCACCATAACACTAAATAGTAAATCCATAGAAAGAGTGAGTAAATTTAAATACCTGGGATCGTGGCTTTTTGAAGACTGGGCATCGGACAGGGAAGTAAAATGTCGCATTGAGCAAGCTCGACAAGCTTTCGTAAAATTCAAGAAGGTACTGACTTGTTCTGATTTCGATCTTCAACTGAGACTAAGGTTTACTAAGTGCTACGTATGGTCAGTGCTGCTATATGGCGTAGAGGGCTGGACACTCAAAACGAGGGATATAAACAGATTGGAAGCTTTCGAAATGTGGCTTTATCGCCGTATCCTAAAAATACCATGGACAGCGAAAATCACAAATATAGATGTCCTTAAAAGAATAAACCAAGAACGCCAACTTTTCGAAACCATCAAGAAAAGGGAAACGGCGTATCTAGGTCACATCATGCGAAATGAAAAATACCAGTTCCTCCAACTTATAATCGAGGGTAAAATTGAAGGCAAGAGAGGAATGGGACGCAAGAAAATGTCCTGGCTCCGAAATATAAGGCAATGGACAGGGATTAACGACATACAATCTCTGATACATATTGCAAGAAATAGAGAGTTAATGGAAAATGTGATCGCTAACATCCATTAGTGGATTTGCATCTGAAGAAGAAGAAGAGAATTGGCTGAGCAAGTGAAAGCTGCGGCACAAGATCAACTACGGGCAAATCAGCGGAGAAGCTCGCGATGTTAACAAAAACGTAACGGATAATTGGCTAGAAAACGTGTGGCCTAGACTGAAGGCACGATATTAGTGAGACGACATTTTCAAGATTGTTTTTTAAAATGACACCAAACAGAACTTTAAAATTAAATCGGAAAATTCGTTGGTGGAAAGCTGTCTAAGGAACGTATTACAGTTTTAGTGGCCGCTAACATGACAGGTTCGGTGGAGCGAAAATTATTAGTGATAGTGAAGTCGAAAAGCCAACGTTGCTTTAAAAACAGAAAAATGTTTGAAAAAGCGATAAGAAAGTGGGATATCGAGCTTAAAGAGAAAAACATTCTTCTGCTTGTAGACAATTATCCTACTCATCCTGTACTGCGCGGCCTTCAAAACATTGAATTTTGTTTTTGTCAGCAAACACAACAAGTAGCCCATGGACCAAAGTGTCATCAAGAGATTTTGAAAAAGTTGATATAAATGTAGCTAAAACATTTGGACTTTTTGACGAAGATATCCTACAAGCAGATCGTATAGAAGAAGAAGAAAACAGTGACCCGGAAGTGAAAGCAGAGCCAGAACTAGCTCCGACCCCTCAGCAGGCATTGCAAGTACTGTCTAGAAAAAAAATGTGGATGGCATGGATGTCTTAATATCAAAAATGTTATATTTACAAATATGGACAGAAAAGTATGGAACACTGTACTATAAAATTAATTTTCCAGAAAAGGAATTTCCGGCAGGCAATTTAATTTGAACTGGAAGGAGAGTCGTATTTTCTGAGGAAATATAAACTGTAAGGGATGATGATAATCCAATCTCCGAAAAACAATAAAAGCATCATAAGATATGATTGAAACGGGTTCCAAATCAGTTCCATCATTTTTATGTCAACCTAAAGCATAGCAGCATACATGAAGATGATGATAACCGCATCCAATAATTTGTGTTCATTTTGTAACTTACATTGAATAACTATATTACTTACTTACATTGAATAACACTATTAGTTTCATATTTTCTATAAAGCGTTTTTATCAATAAAAATTGTTATTTTATTTTGTGCTGTGTTCAAATAATAACCATAGTTTGTTTGGACTTAACTTTGGAATTGTAACATAACATTTATGCTTATAATGTTAAGTCCTTAAAATTGACTTGGTATTAATACAAAATTGTATTATGTCAAAAACCAAAAAAATTATGAATTTTTGACAAATCACTATTTTAATTTCGTGCTTTAATTGCTTGAAATTCACTAGTTGATAGATCATAGATTGCCAAAAAAAAATTGGTGTCACATAGGAAGAAAAATACTAGGCTTTATGTTAAAAACTGCACATTGATAAATTTCAAACCGCTCTCCTGAAAATCGATATTTTGGACTTAGTACACTTTATTCTGGGTACATTATACAATTTTAAAATTACAGGAACCGTGCTAATCTTGTGATAAACATTCGATTATCTCGAAACTTGGTTTTGGAAGATACAACACTTGTCATCTCAGGGTGCAATATGAAGCTTTTCGGCAACATAATGTCATAGGAAGAGATTAATAAGTCTCTTTTGTTGCATCACTTATTCATAACCATTATTCTTGTATATTTTATACTTTTATACTTATTATTCTTGTATCTTTAGAAATAGTATTTATTATACAAAAAAACGCATAAATATGATCAGTTTTCTAGTTTTATAGTATTCTAGTACCTTTAACAGTCAAAGCAGTACCATTTTCAGGGCTGGAATTTTTTTTAGTTAATTTATGTGCATATTCACTCCTCTTATTTGATATTACCTACAAGATTACGTATTATTGATAACATTGTCATTTTTGGTCAAAAATACTTACAGCACGTATAAAATCTTCAAATTCGTTTAAAGCTTTGTCAAACTCTCTGCTTATCGGATATAATTTCCAAGTAAATTTCAATTGATGCCAGAAATGGAGCGTCCTAATACTTGTTATTTCCAATACTCTTAAAAAACAAAAAAAAATGTATCGACAGTAATCGTAAAAATCGGTTTTTACACTATTCACTTATGACCAATTAGTGAATAACCATTTTTGGCTTTTGTACGTATACCTTTGTACCGCGCACGGTGTATCAGACCGGCCCTGTAAATAGTTTTACAGTAACTCTGATTATAGTGGGGATTTAGAGTTGCTGCTCTAAATAACCAATGTTCTACAATATACCATGTCTTTAGTCGTCACTCAACTGTGGGTGAAGTATATGTGCAGTGTAAAAATGAGAAATATATTTGTACGATTGCCAGTTATAAAAGAATTTGCTAAAATTCAATCGACACCTATTCACATCTAGAATTACATTTTTGACGAAGAACAGATTACAACAAACAAAGTGATGCGAAACCTACCGACATTGCCGAAATCAAAGTCCTAATTGGTCTTCTTTATCTTGCTGGTAGTTAAAAAGTAAACCACATGAATTTAGGGGAACTCTGGAGAACAGATGGCACTGGCATTGAAACTTTTCGGCTTGTAATGAGTAAGCCCAGATTTCAATTTCTTTTGCAGTGTCTGCGATTTGATAAATCACAGAAGAAATAATCAAGAATACATGTAGATAAGCTGGCTCCAATACGAACATTGTTAGAAAAATTTAACAGCAACATTAGAAAATGCTATTCTCTGTCTGCTTATGTTACCATTGACGAGAAAATAACAGCTTTACAATCCAGTACATTTCTATCTATTTATCTATCTATACAGCCCTAAACATACATCCTTGGATATAGGCCTCCTCCTCCTTCTTCCATGCCTCTCTATCTTGGGCAATTTGCATCCATTTTGACCCTGCGTGTTTCTTCAGGTCATTTTTGTTTTATTACGAATCCATTCGTTTCTTTTTCTATTTGATACATTCCTAGCAAGCCGAATAAATATAGCGTGGACAAAAAACAGGAAAAAACCTCATAATACTATTTTGTTTTTTTCTGGTTTTTCCCTCATAATTTACTATGGAATCACTAAGAGGAGAATTTTACTGTCATCATGGCATGTGTTTGTCTTTTTAAAGATGAATTACATGCTATGATTTTTTTCTGACGGATATTCTCAAGTTAAAATTGATTTCATGTAATCCAATGAACTATCTTATAAGTAAAGTTGTCCCAGGAGCGCAACTCAACAATATTGGCAATATCATATTAAAGTCGTCTACTTTAAAATGCATAATGTATATCTGAATTGTCAATATAAATGAGTCAGATAAAATTAAATTATTAGAAGAATTTTTCACTAAGTAACAAAAAAAACAAAATTTGTTTAATTTACTGTTTGTATTTTGAGAACGATTTCCGAAGTGGAAATTGAAACGTCAATAAACGTATTTTAACCTTTAATTGTGGCTTATTCCCAGTTAAATAGTAATTAATTTAAAATGCCACAAGAAAATAGCTTTAGAACAATTTTAATTGTTATTGTTATTATTATAAGCTTTTTTTAACTTTTTGTTTAAGCTTTGTAAATAAAATTGTTCAATTTTCAGTGACAATTGTAATTAAAACGCAATTTAAAAATATAGAACTTACTTATTTAAAGCTATGATAAATCCCAGGTCGTTTGAGGTTTGCACATTCATATTGACTCCGAGTGCTGTTTCTAAAATAGAAATGAAACATAATATTCGGGCAAGTTAGAAAGTAACTATGTTTATAATATACTTACCACATACTATATCCATTGTGCAGCCAGATAACAAAGTAAACAGATCTAAATTTTTATTTTCCATCTCCTTCTGAAGCACATTCGCAAATATTTCTGCTTTCTCCCAAAATATATCCTGAAAGGAGTTTAATATTTTTTGGTTAAAAGCTGGCATTATAGTTTTTCGATGAATTTTCCATGTTTTATCTAAAAATAATCGTTTTTGAATAATTTTATGGCTAATAGTCTAAGATTCCACTGCAAAATCGATCTGTAATTACAACGATCATTACGTTGTTAATTAATCACATTTTTACTTACATTTAGGAATAGGAAAATTGAGTAAAATGCAATGTAGCATATGAAAGGGGAGTATATAACGAATATATTAAGGTAGAAAAAACAAACAAGGCGACTACCAAAAAGGCACTACACACCTCTTGCTCTTCTAGTAATTTCCGCACTTTGGTTCTCTTTGTCAAGTTTCAGAATTTGACCTAGCTAGATATATTCCTGTACTTAGTCTATCTCACTGCCATTTATAGTTATACGTCTGGGGTCCTTTGTATTTGTCATTATTTTTGTTTTTTTCATATTCATTTTTAGGCCGACGTATTGGGAGCTCCCCCATCATAATTTGCAGTTCCTCGATTGTGCTCGCTATAATCACTATGTCGTCAGCGAATCTGAGGTGGTTTAACTTGTTGCCATTAACGTTAATGCAATAGGTTGACGAATCTGTAGTTTTGAAGACGTCTTCTAGGGCTAGGTTGAAAAGCTTTGGCGATATTACGTCTTCCCTCCCCTTCCTTTTACTCCCCTCTTAATGGAGATGGGATTTGTATTTTCGTCTAGTTGTACTATTATAGTTGCATTTTCATGTATATTATGTATTAGTTGCCTATATCTCAAATCTATCCTACAATTATTAATAGCTAGTTCTATGGCCACATCTCAATCCTATCAAACGCCTTTTCATTGTTAACGAAGGCAAGAAATACGGGTAGTTGGTATTCATTGGCCTTCTCTATAAATATTCTCATTATCAGCAGATGGTCTGATGTACTATATCCTTTGCGGAAGCCAGCCTGTTTAACCGGTTGGTAATTGTCCATTTTGTAAGCCAACCGGTTGTTAATAATTCTCATAAATAGTTTGTATACTTGACTGAGCAATGATATAGGTACATAATTCTGTAGATCACATTTGTCCCCTTTTTTTGTAAGAGTATTTACTAAACTCTCGTTCCAGTCTTTAGGGATCTTGCTATTATGGAGACATATTATATTAAATACCTCTGTTAGTACAGGGATTGTTAATGTCTTGCTTGTTTTCAAGAGCTCGGCAATTATACTGTCGTGTCGTGGAGCTTTATTATTTTTTAGCTCTTTTAAAGCTCTTTTTATTTCGAATCTCTTTATGTTTGGTAGTACTTCTGATTCCACGTTTTTTCTTTTTCTTCTGACGTTCTCCTGTATTGTTTCATTAGGCTGGCTTTGTGAGCTGTACAAGGATGTGTAGAAGTCTTCGACCATATTTGTTATTTTATATTTGTCCTTCTTTTCCTTATTGTTGGCGTCTTTAATTTTGATGACTTTTTTGAACTCCCAGTGCGGGTCTTAGACATTTTATGCCTCTGTTGTTTTCAATGACTCGCTCTATTGACGGCTCAATGTATATATATATACATATATATAATATATATATATATATATATATATATATATATATATATATACATATATATATATATATATATATATATATATATATATATATATATATAGTATATATATATATATATATATATATATATATATATATATATACATATAGTTGTTGGATACATTCCTAAATGATATAAACGATAAAGAAGAGACAATAACATTTACCATGGAAAATTAATATAATAACACACTACTTTTCCTGGATGTTTAAATCTCTAAGAACGATACTGGATATGAGACTCAGGTATATAGAAAACCAACACACACCAACAGATATTTAGATTTCAAATCAAATCACAATATTAATATTAAAAAAGGAATCATTCAATCCTTATACGATAGAGCCAAAATTACTTGCTCTAACGAAAATTCGCTCTTGGATTAGAAAAAGTTGTGAACATCTGTTTTATTAAAAAATGATTATCCTTTATAGTTTATAAATAACGAATTTTCAACAATCGATCTAATAGAACGGAACAACTTAAAATTAAATCCTACAGCATACACAAGGAATAATACGACGAAAACAACAATACCGTACGTAAAAGAGAAGGATAGGAAATAATTTCAACATTTTAACAACATTCAAAACAACAAATACGTTCAGATCTATTTTGTCCAAACCAAACCTAACAATGAACAAGAAACGACAAAGATTAGTATTTATAAAATACCTTGTGAATGCGATCAGTTTTATTTAGGTGAAACATCAAGGCCATTAAATATTAAACTAAGTGAACTTCAATCTTATATTAAAAATAGAGAATTTGATAGATCTCAAATATGTAAACACGCATGGGATAATGAACATAGAGTTCAATGGAATAATTCAAATGTAGTTCTAAAAGAAACGGATGGTAAAAAAAGAAAAATCAAAGAAGCGTCTCTAATTATGCTAAATGAGACCAATTGTGTCGCAAATTCCATTTTGTCGGCAAAATGTGGTACGATCCGGTTACCCACATTGAAAGAGGAAGTTATTAAAAAGAAAATACCAGTATGAGTACGTCAGTAACATATAAACGATAAATCATTTATGTTTTTTAAATAACAAATATATAAAATAAGAATTTGGTGTTAATTAAAGGTAAACTAAATGCATGACCAAATACTTACCATGTCGGGATAGTATTATGAGGTTTTTTTTCTGGTTTTTTCCCTCATAATTTACTATGGAATTACTAACAGGAAAATATTACTGTCATTATGGAATGTGTTTGTCTTTTTAAAGACGAATTACATGCTATGATTTTTTCTGACGGATATTCTCAAGTTAAAGTTGATTTCATGTAATCGAATGAACTATCTTATAAGTAAAGTCGTCCCAGGAGCGCAACTCAACAATATTGGAATTCCCTAATATTAAATTACCTGACTAAATTAGAAAAAAAAAATTTATATTCATATTTGGCGACACTTTACTTCCTTATATCTCAAAATAAAACCTAACTATATAAACCTGACTCTAATGTGTCAGTCAAAAATTCCTAACTACTTTAAAGACGCTTACTAGAGTCTATTAAACGATAATACAGGCCTACAGAAAAAAAAATTGTTTTGGTGCCGTGTGTCTTTTAGCTGAGTTTTACTATATTAGGGACGATAAATCGAAATAGGGATTGCGTTTTTTGTATCAGCTTTAGTTTTATCGATATGGCACATTCCGAAATTAGTAGTTTTAATTAAAATACATAAAAGTGGTGTATCCTGATAGTGGTATTTAGCCAGACGACCAGTACCCCACTCAAAGGAAATACCGATCACAGTATTCCAAAAGTTAACTGATATTTGTGAGAATCAAGGTGATATTTTTGAACATATTTCTGACTCCGATAGAGCGGTAGAGATTACGATGGGGCAACAGCAAACCCATAACTATTTAGTCACAAGAAACAGCTAAAAACTAAGAAACAGCTACCGTTCTTTAACCAAGAAGAAAATCTTACTTCTTGTTTGGACGTTAAGGGGTTCTTGGAGAAAGTATTAATTCCACACTACGATGCAAATGAATTGCGTTTGCTTACTAATTGCTCCAAGCGCAGTTTGAAATGTGTTCTGCTTCAGAATAAAAACAAGTTTGGTTCAAAACCAATTGCTTATTTAACTGTAATTAAAGAAGAATATGCTACAACAGCTTTAGTTTTACAGAAGATAAAATACCAAAAACATCGCTGGGTGATTTGTGTAGGCTGTAGATTTTGTGTAGCAAAGCGCCTACACAAAATATTGTTGTTTCTTGTTCCTCTGGGATAGTAGGGACCAAAAAACACACAAAAAAGAGTTCCCCTAAGAGAAAAAAACTTGGTAATTGGGCAGAAGAACATTTTTGCCCAGTCCTAATCTAGGTCTAATGAAGCAATTCGTTAAGGCACTTGATTCTAATGGACCATGCTTCGCCTACATAGGAAGCTGTCCCAGATAAGTACGGAAAAACCTAAAGCTGGAATGTTTGATGGACCACAGATCAGACTCCTCACAAAGAATCCGGCTTTTGTGGGATTAATGAATGGGACATAGAAAAAATATAGACTTTTATCTGTGGACATTATGAGAAGTTTTCCTGAAAACTTAGGTGACACAAGTGAGGAGTAAATTGAAAGATTTCACCAAGACATATGAACCGCTAGCAAGGAAGATGGTGATGGCATATTTTTGCTAATTTAAAAAGAGACTGTTTAAAAGTTCATTCTAGGAAATTACGCAAGCAAAGCTTTCGTTACGTCAAGTAAAGCTTTTTTCTATTTTTTTAGTTTTTTTCTCAAAACTAATTGTATATCTGTTTCATTGTACAAATGGTTTTATTGTAGTCAAATGGCTTAAAATATACGTATTTTCTAATTGTGTGATTTTTATTTCAATTTAGTATATTCGTATCAGCATATTTATATTTTAATGCATAAAAGCTGGCATGACCTACCTTATCTTGAAAACTAGAGCTGATAGAGCAAATCTAAAGCCATATTCGGAATGAGCAGAAATATACCTAAAATCAAGTCTAAACACTTTGGCACCAAAAACACTGTAGGCCTGTGTAATATGAATAACCTTTTTATTCCAATATGCATTTACAGTTCACCTTTGAAAATAATATTTTTTTACCCTATATTTAGTGTAAATACGTTAAAATGTATGTAAAAGATTGCATTTAGTTTTAGTTTAATTTCACCATAGTTTTACACGTGTTTCAAGCTATATCAACTCTCATCAGGAATACTTGTGAAAGTCCAAACTTAAATTCCAGTCCAGTCTACTATTTGGCTATAATAATAAAAATAACATGGCTGGTACGCTAGCAGCGACATCTATTCAAAGCAACTAGAAGTCGGGAGACCTTTCGTCGATTGCAAGTTAGGTGAACCGCAAAATTTAAAGCCTCTTACTAGAGACTATTGAACAATACTAGGAATAACCTTTGATTTTGACATGCATCTACAATTGTACGTACATTTGAAAACACTATATTTTCACTCTTTGCACAAA